CATGCATATAGTGTCAATTTTCCAAAGATTTATCAATCCATTATCAGTATCTGGCATATATAGTAAACTCGTTCAATAAATTAATAATCTCACTTAAATAATAAAATTATTTGGTGCCCAATGTACTAAATTAATAACTCCGTTAAATGTATAAGAATATAACCTTTTTATTTATTTTTAGATCCTTTAAGGCTAAACGAATGTATAAAATAATAGATGTTTAAATTTATAGAAATTTATACTAATATAATACAAATTAACGAACTTAATTTGACAATATTTTTTTTAATTAATCTCTTTTTCAAAATATACATATATTTAACAATTATTCAACTACGAAAAAAATAAAAGAGATTACGATACATTTGTCTATTTTTTGTTTTTTTTTTTACTTGATAGAGATTCAAACTAAGGATGGACAAAAATTCGTTCATTTTAATAATAGTAATAAATAATAATTAATTAATTAACTACACCTATTATATTGTAATTAACTAATAATGAAAGAAATTCACACGCCACTTCGCCAGCTGTCGCTCTGCGATAATTTTACCTACGATTATGATACACGTACATAATACATTATATATAATGGTATCCACACCCTCACATGGAAAGGGACCCACTTCAAATATATTATGTACAATGAATTATGTACGTGTAGCATAATTCTTTTAGAGGAAATTAGACATAATACTCTAAAAAGATGAAGAAATTGATTAATACACTTAAACAAAGTTCAGATTTTAATAACCGTATTAATTACATCCACTAAAAATATAACACACTTAAAAGTCAGCAAAATCATTCCAAAGGGAAACGGCCGTACCATATTTTTCACTTTTTAAATTTTTTATTATTAAAAGGTTTTCGTTTAATAGAGTATTTTCTGCTACGATTATCCTTTTTGAGTGATTTAAAATCCATTAGAAAGCTTGCAATGTGGCCATAATAAATATGTTATAGACGAAGTTTAAATGTTGGAAAATATTTTGCATAAATTATTGAACTCAAAATAAATCGTAATTATTAACTCCATTTCTTGCTGCATTTTTGACTTGTTATTATAAACTCATAATTTATCGATTTTTAAATTTGAAAGATGTATTTCAAAGTTTGGTGTGAATACTTTGAAACGATAACGAAAACCTCACTCGACGAGTGAATAAAATCGCCCGTAAATAGGCCAAAACTAGCAAAGTCGAAACAGTAATTAAAAGAAAAATATATAATTCTGTGTCTTTTTCACTTTCACATTTTCGCAAAAGCCTTGGATGCATCAATTGAATTAGTTCAAACAAATAAAAATTGAATGTATGACTAAAATATGGTTTGAATTCGTATATTTAAATTTTCAAAATGCACTTATGCATCTAGTTAATTGCTCCATTAAGACACACTTTTTTACATTTTCATTTTCACAAATATCTTGGATGCATCAATTGAATTGATTCAAAAAAATATGAATAGAATGCAAAATTAAAACAATGTTTGAATTCGTATATTTTAATTTTCAAAAACACATGTATATATTTGGCGAAATACTTCAATGTGATAATGTGATTTTTTTCGTAGAAAAGTGACAGTATACCACTTCTTCACACTCTTATTTTCGCAACACCTTGAATGCATCTATTAAATTGATTCAAAGTTAATTTTCATATGTATAAACGTATATTAAATTTCAGAAAATCTACAATTATGCATCTAGTTAATTGCTCAAATGAGATACTATGACTTTTTTTTAGAGAAAAGTGACAAAATGCTACTTTTTCATAGAAAGGTAATAAAATGTCACTTTTTCACATTTTCCTTTTTGCAACCGCCTTGCATGCATCTATTAAATTGATTCAAAGTGAATTTTTCATATGTATTAATATAAAATAAGGTTTGAATTCGTTTATTTAAATTTCCAAAAATGCATATCTATATATATCTAATTAATTGCTATAATAAAATATCCGTGACCATTTTTTTAGAGAAAAAAGTCAATTTCCACTTTCTTTTCGCAAACACCTTTCATATATATTAATGTAAAATAAAGTTTGAATCCATATATTTAAATTTCCAAAAACAAACACGTATTGTATCTAGTTAATTCTTTTAACGAAATATTGTGACTTTTTTTTTTATAGAAAAGAAACAAAATGTCACTTTTTCACATTCACTTTTTCTCAAACACCTTGCACACATCAATTTAATTGATTGAAAGTTTTATTTTTCATATGTTTTAACACAATCCATTTCCTCTTAAAATCAACAATGTTATTTCCAAATATTTTTTCAATTACAATAGCAAAATCATCAAAAAAGAAATTTCATAAATGTCAATTATTTACATTCTTTGATTCAAACTAAATTAATCATGAAATTCAAAGAAAAATGACAAAGACAATGCAACAAGATTATTAGAATTTGTAAGTGAGTTTATTCAACTCGAAATTGACAATTACGGCTATTGTTTTCAAGCAAGGAATATGACAATTAAGGTTCAAGCAAGGAATATGACAATTATAGGAAGTTGTTAATAGAAGGATGAATCCTGTAACAATGGGAGGGTTAGATGTTGAGAATTTTCTCTGGATGATCATATTTATCACCATATTTCCATGTAAAAATTGCTAATAGCATTTCATGCATATAGTGTCAATTTTCCAAAGATTTATCAATCCATTATGAAAGAAATTCACAAGCCACTTCGCCAGCTGTCGCTCTGCGATAATTTTACCTACGATTATGATACACGTATATAATACATTATATATAATGGTATCCACACCCTCACATGGAAAGGGACCCACTTCAAATATATTATGTACAATGAATTATGTACGTGTAGCATAATTCTTTTAGAGGAAATCAGACATAATACTCTAAATAGATGAAGAAATTGATTAATACACTTAAACAAAGTTAAGATTTTAATAACCGTATTAATTACATCCACTAAAAATATAACACACTTAAAAATATAACAAATAAAAATTGAATGTATGACTAAAATAAGGTTTGAATTCGTATATTTAAATTTTAAAAAACGCACTTATGCATCTAGTTAATTGCTCCATTAAGATACCGCGATTTCTTCAAACAATCTCACCTTTTTACATTTTCATTTTCGCAAATATTTTGGATGCATCAATTGAATTGATTCAAAAAAATATGAATAGAATGCAAAATTAAAACAATGTTTGAATTCGTATATTTTAATTTTCAAAAACACACGTATATATTTGGCGAAACACTTCAATGTGATAATGCGATTTTTTCATAGAAAAGTGACAGTATATCACTTTTTCACACTCTTATTTTCGCAACACCTTAAATATGTCAATTGAATTGATTCAAATAAATATGAATTGAATGCAAGATTAAAACAAGATTTCAATTAGTATATTTAAATTTTCAAAAAAAAAAACACACACACACACACACATGCGCGCGCGCCCGCGCGCACACACACACACACACACACACATATATAGTTAATTGCTTTAATGAGATGCTGCGACTTTTTCATGTACATTTTCCTTTTCGCAAACATCTTGCATGCATCTATTAAATTGATTCAAAGTTAATTTTCATATGTATTAACGTAAAATAAGGTAATTCATATATTAAATTTCAAAAAATCTACAATTATGCATCTAGTTAATTGCTCAAATAAGATACTATGACTTTTTTTAGAGAAAAGTGACAAAATGCTACTTTTTCATAGAAAGGTAATAAAATGTCACTTTTCACATTCTCCTTTTTGCAACCGCCTTGCATGCATCTATTAAATTGATTCAAAGTTAATTTTTCATATGTATTAACATAAAATAATGTTTGAATTCGTTTATTTAAATTTCTAAAAATGCATATCTATATACATCTAATTAATTGTTCCAATAAAATACCGTGACTTTTTTTTCAGAGAAAAAAGTCAATTTTCCACATTCTTTTCGCAAACACCTTTCATATATATTAATGTAAAATAAAGTTTGAATCCATATATTTAAATTTCCAAAAATAAACACGTATTGTATCTAGTTAATTGTTTTAATGAAATGTTGTGACTTTCTTTTTCTCGAATACCTTGCATGCATCAATTTAATTGCTTGAAAGTTTTATTTTTCATATGTTTTAACACAATCCATTCCCTCTTAAAATCAACAATGTTATTTCCAAATATTTTTTCAATTACAATAGCAAAATCATCAAAAAAGAAACTTCATAAATGTCAATTATTTACATTCTTTGATTCAAACTAAATTAATCATGAAATTCAAAGAAAAGTGACAAAGACAATGCAACAAGATGATTAGAATTTGTAAGTGAGTTTATTCAACTTGAAATTGACAATTACAGCTATTGTTTTCAAAATATATGTAAATAGAGAATTAAACAATCTTAAAATTACAGAATTGGTGAACTAATTAAAGAAAAATCCAAAACATCAAAAACCTGTAATCTTTGTTTGGATATTTTTAGATTTGGAGAAGAGAACTTTGAAGAATGGTAGTTGAAGCAATCTTAGTCTTGTTCGTGCTTGATTTGTGGAAGATTCTTCATTTCCTTTCTATTTTCCTTTGATTTTTTGAGATTGGTGGGTTGATTTTTGACAAACTGTCGTGCATTATGTTTGAGTGTAAAATCTACGTTCAATTTTCACTATTTTTCATTTAATCAAAGTTTATCATTTTTTTTCAAAGTTACTCCAAAATACAGGGTATTTGTGTAAATACCCCGTTCTTTTACCTGTAGGCTGAGCTGGCCCATTAATGAATAGTCTATAACAGTGGCCCAAAACTAGCCCATTGAGCCCACAGTCGATCCACTACAAAACCCTCAAACTCGGACTCGGTATTCCCAAAAGGGGACACGAAACAAAAACGATATATTTCTCCTTTTTTACTGTGGATCAATGGAAGGCAATAAAGAATCAGGAGAAGAAGAAGAAGAAGAAGAGTATGTTATGATTGATCTGGATGGCGTTGCTGACATTCACATTCCTACCAATGCAAGAAGAAGAAGAAGAAGAGTATGTTTTGATTGATCTGGATGGCGTTGCTGACATTCACATTCCTCCCAATGCGCCATACGCTCTCTCTGTACGATTTTTCGATATCTAATACGTTTATATTTATATGGAATTTCTTTTCTTTGATTTCTAGAATTCTATGTACTTGTATTTCTTCAAGAACTGTGTAATATAGTTAATCTATGTACGTAAAAAAAATCACCCTCTAAATCATAGTTCAGAAATTAGACGCTGATAGAATGGTGACATGAAATATTGAACTGATTCAGCAAATAGAAGAGGAAATTGAAGGGTTTTAAGCTATGATTTAACCTTTTAGAAATCAAAGGGGTGTGTAAATTTGTTCTAATCAGTGCAAAGGAGATTTATTAACTTTGACGGCAAAGGAGTTGCGACTTTGTAGTGGAATGAATATAAGTTTATTTCTGTGCAATTTCAATTCCAAGGCTATGCAAGCACTGGAATCGGATTCAGTCAAACTCTTAATATCTTAGTTTTCGATTGTGTAATTTGTTTTTGATGTCTTAATGTTATCTACAGAACTCTTCATTGAAACAATTTATTTTTGATTTTTATAGATTAAATTGAGGATGGCTTAGCATTCTTAAGTTTGTACTCAATGTTTATAGAATCAAAATAAATGCTCATCAATTTTGAAGTGCTTTAAGTAAATTTTGTTTGGCATTTATCATTTTAGTTTCTGTTATTTGATCATTCAACGTATAATGCAGGGTCTGGACACTCTCAACCCAATTCTCGTTATCGATAATAAAATTAAGCTGGTATGTTTAAGACCCGAAAAGCTTCACTTGGTGTTAGAAAGTTGATATATTTCCCCCTTTCCTTGAGTAAAATTTTTTCTACTCTCTCTTCCCTTTATTTCAGATAGGAGAATATGAAGAAACAGTTGGGACTTGCCTTGTTTTTAATGAAACTGGTGAGCCACTACTTCTGGGTTGGCAATGTATATATTTGAAGGAGGTGATTGTGGATTTGGCATTTTCTAACCTATAGAATAGTCTAATTATGAATGGGAAAAACTTAGAACTTCTGTAAACCAATTAATTTTAGCTTTGTTTACAGAATTCCCTCCTGTACGTATCATACATTGCCATTTAATAAGGAAAATAACATTCATGCTACTAATGTTCTTTTACCCTTCATTGATGGATCTTTCTTTATGTAAGAAATTAATCGAAATGGAGTCTGCAACTCCATATTCATGCTATGTAGATGTTAACCTTCAACTTCTGGAAATCCGTGGAGCCTTGAGTTTGTCGTACCCAAGTTTTAATTCCTTTCAGACACTTTTAAGTTTTAACAGTCACTTGACACTATGGAATGAATCCAACTTATAATTCATATACTTGAACATTTTTTGGCAGATGCTGCTCCCGTGGTTCACGAAGAGACTGGGTCATCTGAGGGCAACCTTTTCGCAGGAAAATGCATTGTAGACCCAAAATCCCCTGGCAAGCAAGTCAATCCAATTGCACGTCTTCATAAGGTTCTCAAGTTCAGACAATTTTCAGAAGCTGTGATTGAAGATGCAACAGACAATCAGGCAAATAAGCCATCATGAACCACTAACGACGGTTTTAACAGTATGATTACCTATCGTATCAAAAACTCCTCGAAGACAATTAAGGTTCAAGCAAGGAATATGACAATTACAGGAAGTTGTTAATAGAAGGATGAATCCTGTAACAATGGGAGGGTTAGATGTTTAGAATTTTCTCTGGATGATCATATTTATCACCATATTTCCATGTAAAAATTGCTAATAGCATTTCATGCATATAGTGTCAATTTTCCAAAGATTTATCAATCCATTATCAGTATCTTGCATATATAGTAAACTCGTTCAATAAATTAATAATCTCGTTTAAATAATAAAATTCTTTGGTCCCCAGTGTACTAAATTAATAACTCCGTTAAATGTATAAGAATATAACCTTTTTATTTATTTTTAGATCCTTTAAGGCTAAACGAATGTATAAAATAATAAATGTTTAAATTTGTAGAAATTTATACTAATATAATACAAATTAACAAACTTAATTTGACAATATTTTTTTTAATTAATCTCTTTTTCAAAATATACATTTGTAGTCTTGCTTTTTCTTTGTACCCAAATCAAACTCAACTTCATTCTTAATTTTTTGCAATGCACATGCTACATTTGGCATGTATTTTTTCATTTTGTACAAATTAATAATTTAAAGTTATGAAAACTGCTTGAAATGCCTCTTTTGAAGAAATAGTTGGTAAAACACAATTATCATCTAGATCATGATTATCATTGATAACTGTATTATATACCCCTTGAATAATATTTTAATTAGTATACGATTTCATCACCACATCATTTTCACTAAAATAATTTAAAAGATACTCGACATCCATCGCATTTCTATAGCATTGACCAAAAATAGTTTCACACAATCCAATGATTCCTTCATCCTAACTAACTTTTGGTTCAACATTAATATTTTCATTTGACTGAATATTGCAGATTTTTTAACTCACTTCAAATGAAATGTCATGGTAGAAAAAGGGATGAGGATATTAAACTTTGAAGTCATGTACATTAATGTTTCCTCTTTAATATATGTATGTATGTGCATTTTTTTGTGCTTACATGTAGTATAGGAAAATATAATATAAGTTATAAAAGTATAAAATACTCTATAAATTAACAATTATTCATTTTTCGATAAATTAATAACTCCTCTAAAATAAAATAAAAATTCCAGTCTCAACATTATTATTTTATAAAGGTGCCGGTAAAAATGATCGAAGTAGTGCAGATTTGAATGTGACCATTTATTGGTGAAATGTATGATCTTATCTTTGGAATTTTGAACTTCGGTTATTAATGGCTTATGACTAGTTCGTTGAATAGGAAGTTCTTGTGTATGGTGTTTATTTTATTCACTTCATTGTTTGGTAGATCTGGTTGAGTTTTACTTGAATGTTTCTAAAATTGAATGAATTGCACTATTGAGGTTGAGTTTCTACTTGTTCAAGAGCCTTCAACAAATTATACCTCGTTCAACACTCATTTTTGAACTTGGATTATCAACTAAACTTCAAAAATTTTAGAATTGCAATACTACAATCAGCTGAGTCTAGTAATGCAAATGGCAGGCATAATGATTATGTAGAGGTCAATGTTCTAAAAAGTTCGTCCAGACCATCTCGTCAAACCACACTTCAACGTTCTTTAAAAACACTGATTGAGACTTTATTTGAAGAATTTTTCCCTCGAGACATATTTTCAAGTCATTAAAGTTATATGGATGAGTGAACCCTCTTTGTACCCACGACGTGATTAAATCAATCCACTTTGTTTAACAGTGATATCACTATGAATTGACCTACACTTTTGACACAAGTGTATATTTGGTACATAGGATTACAGTGTATTAGATAAGATCTTAAGAGGAAAAGAATCTTAAACTATTTTATCGTGTAGTATTGTTTAATGTTTATGTAATAAGCATTGAGGTATTTGCTGAGCAGCTTGAAAAATGCTATTCTCGTCCTGCCAAATAACAATTAACAAGCTGTATATGGCAATATAGAAAGATTTCGCCCCTGTTGGCAACTCATTTTCAATTACTCAATAATATAATTTTGCACAGGAACCCATAATTTTTTCCTACTTTTTAACCACACATTCTTCAAAAAATCACTTTTCACAAAATCCATTCTCAAAAATCTACAAACTACATAAAACCGACTTTAGTTATTTTGGGGTGCAGGGCATCTCAAAATCCTATAACGCCTTAATTTGCCGGACCAACTCGTTTAATCATGGAAGAAAGCGGGTTCGTGCAGTAACATTGACGATGATTTACACAAGTTTTCACCAACTTTTGATTCATTCCACACTAAGTAAAATCCAGAATGCAATCTAAAAACTTCGTAATAACAGAGATTGTTCAATAATAATACAATATCCGAAAGTATTATGTCAACTCAAGCCCGCCAGTTCACACTCAGTTCATCAAACTTTAAAATTTGGGGGAAAAAAAAAATCAAAGCAAAAAATTTTTGTTCACACTCGGTTCATCAACCCAGAAACAATGCACTTAAAGCCTGCAAATGCACCTTCTTGGAGAGAGACACGAAACCATTATTGTTCTACGATTCTGTCCTTCAAATATTTCAGGATAGCTTTGGTTCCTCGGTCCAAAATTGCCCTTCGGATACTGAAAAAGCCATTATTTTAATTAAGTGCATTTCTATCGACCTACATCTTTATTATCAACTCGCATAAACAGGAATTAAACTACTTGTACACTCTCTGTGTACATTAAGTTTGCCATTTCAAGATGTGTCAAAATTTGTGCAATGAATTGTTTAAAATGTTGTTAAAATCAATGCATAAAAAGCTGCAACTTCACAACAATGTAAAACTTAATGTACATGTAACAAAACTGCATAAACAGTGGCGTTTCAACAGAAACTAACAGCATAGCGTATCATCTTCTGTAGCTTTTCAGGCAAGAGTTTTCAATTAGATTCATCAAATTATTCTAAAACATTTATTTATGTTGGCTTGTTAATTATTTGTCAATCATATTTGAAAAATAATAATAAAGTCACATTTTATAATTTTGAATTTATAACAATAATTATAATGGTATTTTTAACTAAAATAATCTCATCTATATCAAAAGTACGAAAACTAACGGAGGAATCTGTTACCAGAAGTAAACCTCAAGGAGATTTCTGAAATTTTTGCAAATGGAGGGGAAGTCTCTGCAAGTTTCATAAACCTCCCTTTAGGTTTATGTAATTTGCTCTAAGAACCGACTATATTTAAGTCATAATTACGTTATTCAGAAGTAACTCGTATACTTTGAACATGGAAAATGCATTTTCCATTCTCAGATTCCCGCTGTTTGATAGGGAGTATTGGTGTGGGGGGGGATGAATGAGCATCGTAGTGGCTTCTGCCGTGTAAATAAAAAAGTGGACAGATATAGACATAGGGCCAAGGTAGACAGAACGAAAAATGAGAATCCGGAAGAAAGCCATTCATTTCAGAACAATGAATGACTTGGATGTTCTTAGTCTGGAGCATTTTCACAAGTCGCAATACAAAAATGTAAAATCCATCTGTCAGGTTTCTTGGGGTTTCATTATTCATTGACTCATTCACACTCCATAGGTTCGCTTGCTGTTGATTTACTAGCTTAAGAGGTCAATGCTAAATTTGTCCGATGGACTCTTGAGATAATTTAGATTTTCATGTTGTCTCCTGTTCATATGTGAGAATAACCTAGCTGAAAGTAATGTAGGCAACTAAGATCAGGAATTTGATTGAGCAAGTATAAAATTAGAAGGCACACATTTCTCACGATGGTTTGGTAGTATAAAACCTTGATCTAACTTCTAAGCATTTAGCATTGCCATAAAATGACTAGAAGGATTTTTGAAGTGTGAAACATGGGAGCGGAGATTTCCTGCACACATGCTGGATAGTCGTATGCTGGTATCAGACCTTGCAGTACTTTGTTTACACATTAAAATTGGAAATTGTTAATTCACCAAAGATTTTGATGCCTCTACTAGATATGGTTAATTTGCATGGGGGTGTAGGGGATAGACACGGCACAACTAGGTTCGGTAGACTTACTAGACCTATTCTTAATATTTGAGCTAAAAATCATTTATCTAATCACAAACTCCAAACAAGAGTAAATCTAAAATATGAACTGTACCTTCTCAAAGGGTTCCCATCAAGTTTTAGTACTTGCAGGTTGGCTTCAAGCAAACCCTGTAGACCAGATATTCAAAAAAGCAATTAGCAAAGCAGAAGTACTGGAAACAAAGTTCCCCTCTTAATATGCATGGTAAATATGAGAAAGCATCTATTGCTAATGACTAAACAATTTTCAATTGATTAGCAGATTCTTTTCATCTTCCACTATCCCTTTATATCCCTTTTTCAGTACAACAAGGCAAAGCAAAAATGAAGGAACCCAGTGCCTTTGATTACATCATTTAGTTCATCCATTGTGCATCAATTATAAGAATTTATCCATTCATCCCAACTGATATAATATTAAGATAGAATCAATTTCCCAGTTCTCTAAGCAGAAAAGGAAGATTAAGAATTATTAATCATTTCTATACTGGGAATAGAATTAGTGCACTTTCAGATGAAGCCAACAACTCATGCAATTGACAAAAACCCAAACAAAGAAATGGTAAGACCAAAAGGTTACCAGTTCTGGTGGAACTGAAGACATGTTGTTATCTGACAAATCAAGCTCCGTAAGAGAAGTCAAATTTTTAACACTCTGCAGGCAAATGCTATTATGTATAAATATAATTTTAATAGGATAGATAAGAGTACAAATTCGAGGATTGAAACAATTAAACTCAAAATCACATAAAGTATGAAAGTGAAAGGGAAGAGCTTGAGAGCGTATAACAAATATGATTGGGAGAGAGTGCAATATTAATGGTGATATAAAAGGATACAGATTGTTTTCCACAGCTCAGATGGTAAGCTCCATGCATTTCATAGACTCAGATGGGTTCAAGCCTGGGACTAATCTTTATATATTTTTTAACGTATTCCTCCATTTCTTAACGCGGAATACTCGAACACCCCCATGCCCATTAAAAAGGAAATAATAGGGCATCTTAAGAAGCAAAATAGCCATCGAGATAAATCCTAGCCTCATGTGTCCGTTGCTGACTTCCCATATTTCCCAACAAGTATTCTTTTCTTTTCCTTTCGTTAGAAAATTGAAAATTTTCTTCTTTTATCATCCATAACCACCATCAATGGGTGGCCTATTAGTAAAATTAAAAGATCGGGAAGTTGAAGACAAACACGGTCTTATACAAGTATTATACAAAGTTAATATGCCCAATGCTGGGGTGGGTGGGTATAACAAATTGGTAAAAAACTGGAAATAGAAAGTCCGAGTCAAATCTTATCACCACTAAAAATCAGATGTCTTCTACAGGAGGTGTCAGTAAAATCTAATTTGAATTTATGTCACCTTTTTTACTTCTGAGAGAGAGAGAGAGAGAGAGAGATGTTACCTCTGGAATTGATTGAAGAGAATTTTGGCCTAAATCTAGAACCTTTAGCTGCTGCAAAGTCAATATATCTGAAGGGACAACTGATATTTGCATCCTCCTGCCAAATCAAACAGGAAATGAATGACGAGCAATATAAAGGTCAGCAAGTACGCAAATTTGAAATAATTGATTCCTATTAACAGACCTCAGGTAAAGCTCCTGCAACTCTGGTAAGCTAGAAAATGTTGGGTTTTCTGGTAAAGAACCTGCTGCACCACTGAGATCCAAAATCTGAAGCTTGGAAACAGCTCGAAAACCATCAGAGGGGATCTATGAGAAAGCAAACAGAGGTCAGAAAGGAATTGATATAATGCGGAAAAGTAGATGCAGCATTATATAACACTATAAAAGGTTATATGTGGACTTGATGCTAACAAAACTTGGAGCTTAGTTTTCTTATCCGGCATTTGAGGAAACAAACCCATTAAAATTAGCCAAATTGATTGCCCCAAGAAAGACTTCTTCGATTCTCAAGTGTGTTTACCTATCTATGTAACTTGTGTATATTGTCTCTAATCTTAAATTATGTAGTCAATGAAGGTTAATTCCACAAGACAATATTCAGAATGATTATCAAGAACAATTGTGTGCCTACTAATGTACCTCTCATACATTAACAGCTGAAGGTTAGTTTCACAAGACAAGTCCAGAATTAATCATATTCACCTTTCTCAGTGGATTTCCATCCAGCTTTAAGCACGAAAGTTTAGGAAGAGACATCAAAATTGCACCAGGCCACTCTTTTATCTTGTTCTTGGATAATATCAAAGCCTGCAGATTGAATGTGTTAAGTAAAAAGCTTTACAAATTTTAATGCACAAGGCTTCTCAGTTCATAAACGTTTCTAATGAAATTGTAAGAGTCAAGATGACTTCACAAGCCATAGTTTAGTTGACATTTAAAGTTGCTGCACATAAACTCTCCAAGTGAAATTAATCTCAACCCTGAACAAGATAAAAAGGTATATTATTGAATTGATAAAAGAAATAGCAACATTTCTGGCTATATTATGCAAATAGCTTCAACAAAGAAACATTAAGAAGGATAAATTAACTTGATTTTCAAAATCAGAATCAGATTCACCAACACATTAAGCTGGGCCACCAGAAAGGTCGATACCTCAAATAAACACGTTTGCATGTTATGATTTTCAAGGATACATTTACGTTAAAACTATATATAGTATATTATTAATTGCCAGACTAGATGAGATCACAGGGATTAGTATCCATCTCCTTCTCATTTTCTTTAATCCTAACCAACATCTTCAGTTCAACAGAGAGGAGGCAATCCAGAAAAATGTTTACCTCAAGGGAGACACAAGAGCTAAGTTCATTCGGCAGCTCTTCAATAGAATTTTCCGAAAGATTGACTCTTGTGATGTCACTTGACTTCCATACATCTGATGGGACAGCACCCAGACCTAGCCTAGCTAAAGAAAGTTCCTGAAAGGTACCAACACTGAGGACGCCATAGCAAATATATGACAAAACCTTAAGTAGAAATAAGAAAAGCCTGCAGAGAGAAGGATGCCTTCATTAACTTTGCCATTACAATGCATGCTTGGTTGAAGACTACGTAGCCTATGTATTAATGGACTCAAGTCTTCAGTGTCTGCTTAAAGAAACTTAATTTTCATTCAGAATAATGAGACAGACATGGAAAATCTATTACGGAGGGAAATTACCTTTGAAGTTAGGGATAATCGAGCTGCCATGGCAACAACATCCTTTTTAACAGTTGTGGTTGTTGAAGACTCTGCATGAAAAATTCATAAACATAAACGCCGAGACAAATTTAAGAATACCAACTGAAGCAGGTCAACTTGAAATCTAGAAAGCTAGAGGTAGCAACGTTGAGTTGCGAAAATTAAGCTAAGAATCACTGCTTCTTGATACCAGTAAATTACCAACTGCTGCCTAAGCAAATACTAAGAACCAACATACCTTCATCAGTAGGAAGTCTACTTCGAAGGTACTTTAATAGAGCAGGTGTAGGTCCGGATACCAAGGAGCTGAGCAAGGATAAATTATTTAATCAACTTCTGGACAAACAGAAGCACTGCTAAAGCAGAAAAATAAGACAATTGATTCAAACCTCCGCAATGTCCGCAACGGATTGCCAACAAGTAAAAGTTTCCGCAGTGTGGTCATCAAGCCTACATATTGACGTTGTTGCCCACATTTAACTCATTTATACATTATAGTATTGTCAATATCGTGGAACCAACGAACATGATACATGGTTTTAATATAAGAAACGTAACATAATAATGAAGCTATAATATATACTTGAACCAAACATAATGAACCTTCTCCTAATCAAAAGATTGATACAAAAGGCAGTACTAGTTGTTTCTGTAGAACAATGAATATGATCTTTTAAATAATTAATAAATTAATTCTAGTAGTGCACACTTTTTCCTCGAGCAAAGACAAAATGCAGAAGCAGTCAAATTATTGTGAATGATTACGTTCTTGGTGAATCAAACCAGGATACTTTAGAACGGTGTGTAACTTAATTCCAATATTTATTAGGGAATTTCTACAGAATAAAGATTTCAACAAAGAAACATCTTTTCAAGCTCATCATAAAGTGAATTTAACTAAACCCAATACTGCTTATTAAGAAATAAGATGTCAACCTTACCAATTTGAGGAGGCAAACTAGATAATGAATTATTAGACAGGTCAAGAACTGAAAGACGCAAATTGCATGCGTCCACTGGATACTCCTTCAACTACATGCACAGTAAAAAAATGTCAAAAGTAAAAGATCAATTAGTAATGAGCAGTCATAAAACAAGTCAAAAATTAAAACTTTACAGATGCTAGAAAGAGTCTCCTCTTCTCAAACTCTCAGAAAATTTTAATCATAGGGAAATTGTAGCAAATTCAGACATGACGTTAAATAAGCCACCTGGTTTGAGTGCAGATCAAATGTTCCTAACTGCGTTAGTGATCCAATTTCCACCGGTAATGAGGACAGCATATTATTTCTGAAATTGGCCCAAAACCCAAGAAACAAGAAGGCCAATATCAGAAGTGTAAATGTGGAATAGCACAAGATAATAAATAATAAATCTGAATATTGTCACAAAGAAAGAGAATGTACCCTATATAAAACTCCAGAAGGGATGAGCAACCCTTTATCGACAATGGAATTGATGAAATTTCTACAGCACATATGCAAATAGCAAATTAAATAAGGCAGACATTTTATGAACCACAGAGAGAAGTATTAAGCACCACATATTTCTAACATTAACATGCAGAAAATCATCTAGCATAGTCCAACAGAAAACTTGCTCCACTCACTGTTTTGGTGAAGATCGAGGCGTATCAAACGTGAAAGGCATCCAATTCTGTCTGGAATGCTGCTTAGCAAGTTTTTGGCTGTAAAATGGTTAAATAATAAACTCTAGAAATTGAACGAGCTGCCCAAAACTCAATAACAGATAAAAGGAAGAATGGGTTTTTACATGCATTGAGTTCTGTAAGCACAGTGCACGATGCAATGAAATTATCAGGTAGCATTGTTAGCTTGTTTCCCTGGCAAAAAGGTGCATAACATACTTAAAGTCCAAGACAGTGAATAGTGAGGACCAACGAATACTTGGTTAGATTATAAATTAATCAGGTGTTAATAGATAAAGCTTCTAATACCTCTACATCCAACTTTAAAAATTTTGAACAGTTTGCTAGATCTTCTGGAAAGCTGGAAATGTTATTGTTAGATGCCTGAGAAGATAACCGAAAACCATTCAAGGTAAGAACAAAATGTTCAATTATGTGGTATCCAAAGAAAAGCACAAGTTAACTTCTTTGAAGTGTAAAGGATAGAAATGTCAATAACACACCTATGCAGCTGTACTACCTTCAGTTCGCATTCATTAAGAGCAAAGCATCTATATTAGGCATGCTCTAAATTTAGACTACAATTAAACATCTTGATCTCGTGAATTGGATCAAACTACTGGGACATTATCCTTAACATAGATTCATCATCTTCATAATTTTTGTTCTTGCTGTAGTTATTGTTGAAGATGAGAGATCTCCAATATATATAAACTGGGGTACGGCCTTCATTGTGAACCTTTTAACAAATCATCCTTCCAGCATGTGATGTTATGGGTTTATGAAGTTACTAGTGAACTAGTCCATTTTTATAGCTTTTTTTTTCCCTATAAAATCTTGTCAAATTTATTGCTAAAGAGATTATAATCCTAGGACTCACAAATATTAGTTTATTACTTCAAAGGCGAATGTGGATATCAAATTAGTAGGACACTTTTCCAGGGACAGGCACCTGTATCTGAAGGGCATGAAGAAAGACACTCATAAATAAGTTTGAGTCGTGCAAGTGCAGGTACTAGTTTAACGCTGTGAAACACAATAAATGTTCTCAAGACAAAGCTTGCCACTAACATCGTAGAAATAAATATCTCATTGTTTCAACTTACAGACAAGTAAGTACATTGTGTTTGTCGCACAGAAATATATGTTGTGTTGTTATAACAATGCCGCTATATAATTCAAGGATACATGATTAGGCAGAAGCAGGACAAAACTACTACAACTTGACAATACTTAACCCTCAAAAGCATATGCCAACAGAGATACATGATAAAACACAATTCAAACTAACAAATGTAACAAATATCCTTATAAAATATTGCCTTAAGTTCTGACAACTCCGTGCATTTTCCAAGAGAGACAGGGAGATAGCTTAGGCGGTTATTTGAACAATCACACCTGTAGTGAGACACAAACAAATGAAAACCTTCTGCAGAACAGGAAAATCTAAGGCACATGTTCATTGATAGAAATATATGTGATAAAAAAAATCATTCTTTAAAATGCTAATATAATTATGATCATTTAAGGTGATAGAAGCTGCATTTCCTAATTTTTGTCCACATGCCTCACAAATAATAATATAGAAAATGCGGAATGCACATACTTGACCAGAGAAGCAGCTGATCCGATTTCTTCAGGAATTTCCATGATTGAATTAAATGACACGTCTAATGATTTGAGCATGTGAAGCCTGCCAAACGAGACATAAAACAGTCTACAAGTATCAGTTCCAGCAAAAGAAAATATGGGTTCAAAAAGTCTCATAGTTAAATAGTTCCAAAAAAACATACTCTCCAATAGCTGCTGGGAGATGCGAAAGCTTATTGTGGCTAACATTTAATACAGTTAACAAAGGCAAGTTTCTAAGATCTTCCCTCAGCACTTCAATATCATTATGAGCTAGGATCAGTTTTTGCAGCTCAACAGCCTGTAGACATGCAACAGAATACATAAATTCGGAAAACCAATCAACTATAAGGCTAAATCGAAAAATAAGAAATTATACCTCCCACCAATTTTCATCCTCGGCAACCGCGTCCAAACTTTTGTACACCTCATTGGGCACTTCCCTGTACGAGAATTATCGATATTCCCGTGAATGAAAGTAAAATTCTTTGTATTTTGATTGAAATACAACGAGAAGGGGAAAAACGGATGCCTGATCAGAAAATAATAATGTGAGGGACTGACCTGAGAGAGCGATTGGAGAGATTAAGAGAACCAGAAGCTCGTGCAGCTTTTAGGACTCGATCCATGTTCTTCTGTGTGCATTCAGGAGGAAGGAGGCGGATTAATCAACAAACAGATCTTAGATCCAACTGATTCTGGGACGAACATTTGATGTGTTTCTACTTTTTTAGACGGATCAGATTTCAGTGTCAACTTTTAAACTGAAAGCGCGTTTAATCTGCGAATTTTTAATTTGAGTGGGATTAAAATTGAAAAATTGGTCGTCGTTGACTTTCATTAAACTGGTGGACCTAATAACGGCTATATTTTCAATTTTAATTGAATTAAAATCCCTTCCAAACAAGATAGGGGAAAAGGAACGAAGGGGATATTTGACAAATCCTTTTATTAAAAATTTATTAGTTTTGATAAAAGTTAATGAAATTTGCATTTAAAATTTTGATAAAAATTATAAATTCCATAAAATTTGTATTTGAAAAATGAGTGATGCTTGGTGTACATAATTTAGGTTATATAATGGTATCCATACACTCACATGGGGTGGGGTCCGCTCAAATATTTTATTCGAGCGGACCCCACCTTATGTGAGTGTATGGATATCATTTTGTAACCTAAATTATGTACAAGTAGAGTTATTCTTGAAAAATTGATCATTGACTTAAACTTTTTAAAATTTTCCAAACAAACCCTACTTAAGCTCAACACTGAGCTTAAATTTAGTGAAAGTCTAATTTTAGTTTTTGCTTTTATCCTCTATTTATAATAATAAGAATTTAAAAAGTACACGGAAAATTGAAAAACTAATCACTCTTCCAAAATCCTTGATTTTCCATAGAGTAGGGACGATATTACATATACATAAAAGTTAACACAATGGTTTACACTCAAGTGGATTGGCATATTTTAGCATATTGATCTTGACAACACATTTTTCAATCAACTGTCAGATTTTTGGCATATATGAGAGTGTCAATTAAGGTGTACACTTTGTGTGTAAAAGTGGTTTAATCCTTAGAGAAAATTCAGGGCAGATGATTATGATGCAGTACTCAATCCTTGTGTGGAAGTAATTTTTGGAAAATAGATTTATTTCAGATTCAATTTTAACTATATATTCTCTAACAAAATCATTTTCATTTTTTGGACTAAAGTCATATTAGTAAAAAAGTAACTCTTAATAATTTACATAATTTGGAAAGTGAGATTGTTTTTCATTTTATTTATGAGCATATTGATATCTAGATAAAATTACTTGTACGCCTAAATGCGAACACTTTTATTGACACTTTCTATGTGTCAATAATTTAGCCATTGATTCAAAAATGTATTGTTCAAATCAATGTATCGAAATCTGTCAAGGATATAAACCAAAGCGTAAACCATTGTCTACTAGCATGACCCTTGATATCTACTATACCTTCACCTTGAGTGGAGCCAAGTCGATGCCATGTAGCATAACATGTCCATGTCACAACAATCTTTTGCATTGGTCAAAAGTAAATGGAAAAGTTTTGACATATTTATATATGAGTCCTAAAATAGATCTCTGGATCATTAGCGATAACCTAAGGGCATAATTCACGGCTATGGACCCATTTTGATTGGTTCGATCGAAACTTGACGTGATGCCTCCAATGGGGAAGCCGTACACACAATCAATCGACGCGATCAATAGAAGATCTTGGACCTAGAGATTGTTTGAGCCCAATTTTGAGAGAAAAATTCATTTTGTAATAATAGATTAATAGAGAATATGTTGTTAAAAAATTAGGAAAATTTTTGAATTTGTATACAATATTATTTTATTTAAAAATGTGTAATTGAAAAACAGAGAGAAAAAATATATCTTAAAAATAATGAGAATCAAACAAGACCCTAGAATAGAAATTGAGATTTTACTAGGGCGATACTTTTTATCTGGACTTAGAAAAGGCATAAACATTTTTGCACGACATATCTTACTTGGAAGCAGCGTCACAATGTACATCATCTTATTGATGATGATCCATCAGTCCATGACATGGATCATCTCCAATTTGAAACATGTTTGATGTAGATTTTTGAATAATAGGTTTCGTGTAAAGTGAAAATTTTGAAGAATTTAAAAAGTACGGAAGAAAATATAAATCCACATACAAAACTATTTTAACGAGAGAATTTGTGTATAAAAATAAATTTGGAAAAAATTAGTTTTAAAAATCTGTAACTAACACGGTCTCACTACAACTAAACCTAATTTGATTTTTATTTTTTGAAAATCACCTCTCCCCCACCCTCATTTTCAACCATACATTCTTAAAAAAATAAAGAGGCAATTTGAAGTTCAGTGAGTAAGTTGTGATCATGTTAAAGTTTAGTGAGTGTTGAAACAATTTACTCATATATATATATATATTAAACCAAGCCCACAATATTCACAGCAACAACTTCCAGACCCGTCATCATAAGAACATGACCACCGAAACTGGTGGCCCTATTGAAACTGCGGTACCAGTACAGCCATTTTCACAATTGTGACATGGGAGGAGGGTACATGATTTGGTTTCTCAACATTTTGAGAGTCCTTCGAGACATTATGAGCAGAGCAAAGACATGAACTAATAACAAGAATAACGAATATCGACTGCACAATAATTTTTGAAGCCATTATTTTTTCAAGATTGTATGATTTGGAGTTTGGACACACGAGGAAAACAATACGAGTTTTATTCATAATACAAGGCCAACATTGTTAGTTAAGGAGTGAATTATAATTGCAACAGAGTTTGCCGAAAATGCAATTGAGACTATGTCAGCTTCCTGTGGGATTTTCACACTGACAAATATGGCATGGTGAGTAAACTGGAAAATCAACCAAGTCTACGTACATGTCATCATGGCAGAAATAAAGCTAATAAAACATCCATGATAATATAGGAAAATCCAATTAGTGATTGCATTTAACAGTTGATTCTGTTAGGAAATTGAAAGCATTAAGCATGGATTAAGAGTGATGTTTTTACATTTAGACAAGTCTGCATACAGATTTATTCACCGCCATCAGCACTCGATCCTGCATTCCTCATCGCTTCAGCCATCATTTTTTCTCTATTCTGCGTTTGTCTTTCAACAGCCACCATATAAAACCCTAAAGAAGCAAATGACAAGGGGAGACAATGAAGGCAGCAGCTGTAATAAATTATGTCAAATCTTATCCTCAATAACCAAATGGGCCTCCTAGTTGGGTGGGGGGGGGGGGGGGGGGGTTGATAAGAAAATAAGAACCAACCACAGCAAAGAAGAAATTCTACATCATCCAACTAGAAACTGTGAGGTACTCGTACTCTGTTATTATTCCAAAATATTGCACATAAAAATAATACCAGAGCTATAATTCACTGAATGTCTTCATTGATCACCTAGAAGTAAATACACGGTTTTCTGGATTTCTAAAAAGTTATCACAATAAAAGATTTAACAAGAATTCACCACATGAATGGTTCAATCTATTGGTAGACAACAAAATTCATGTAACATAAACAAAGCCAAGACATTGAACATTCTTTTAGGAATGGAACAACAAATATCAGTCAGAACTCGAATGTGGATTCAGTTATGTTAATGAAACCACAATAAGCATGACCATCGTCCATCAGTAAACATGCTAGTGTCAAGCAAATTATTATTGGGTTGCATACCAATTGCACTTCCAATAGCAGTGAGCCAAAGTATCCTCGAGGACCATTTATCACCAATTACTCCTCTGTTCCCCAATCCCATATTTCACTGCCAAAACAAGAATCTCATTATTTCAGTGAAAAAACCGTTTGCACTGTTTTGCCAGATTCAATATCAGTCCCACAATGGCAGGGGAGGGCGTCATTGTATGCATAAGTAAGAAAGCACCACGAGATAATTATCTACGAAATGGAGGTTTGAGTTGTTGTCAGGCTTTCCTCCATGAGATTCAAGATCTAATCGAAGCCTTGTGTTGTATTCAATAGCATCACAAATTGGAGCTTTATATGGAAATTAGAAATAATTCAATTAATTTTTACTTATATTTCACAAATTACACTTCCAAGTCTCCAATTCCAGGCTACAAATACAGCCTATCATTTCATTCATTAGAGCAAGTGTTAGGGTGCGGGGTTTACAGATCAGAAGATCAACATAAGGGCATCGTTACAGCAGTGAATCTTCAAAGTTTAAAGATATAACTCAAAATTTCCAATAACAAAATCATATAGATTTATTGATTGATTTCATACTAAAGCTTAAATACGCACATATATTTGTGTGCACGTATAAAAAGCTCTGAAAATAATTAAATAACTCACATTTCTGCAAAGATTGCAAAGGCTTTGGCAAGAAGGAGCTCCAACAGTCCCGCTGTTTGAGAGTAGTCGAAGGTTTAGAGAATATTGGAGAGGGTTTTGGGGAAGAAGACTATAGAATTATTCTTATTTTTTTTTTGTGAAAATTGCATCCATAGTCCTTAATATATGAAATTTATGCAAATAGGTTGTTAACTTATTTTATTTTTTATCTTTACATTTCTGACCTTTCACTTTTGTTGTAACTTGGTTCTTGGACTATGAAAACATTGTTTGCTACAGTAAAATTCTCCACCACACATTCACTCAATAAAATATTCTACACATAAACCAATAAAGTTACTTTAAATTTCAACCACACATTCTCCAAAAAATATTATTCATTACACCATTTTCAACCCAATAATGGTAGACAAACAGGCTCAAAATGAGTTTTTCCCGAATTTGTCACCAGGGTTTTGCATCTAGATAATGCCCGTTGCCAAAAAAATTAAAAAAAAATCATTGCATCTAAAATGTAGCGGGAGCTACGAACGGTACTTTATTGATGCATGAACTAGAATTATGATCTTGCACAATGTTGAAGTTCTTGAAATCTGTGCTTTGATAGGGGGTTGATTAGTTGACTCATTGTTTCTTCACCTGCAAAACTCTTGTTGATTTAAGGTTTGAAAATCATATAACTATTTCGAGTTTTTGATAATGTGTGTTTTTTAAGCCTTACAAACATAATGAGTCACTTATAAAAT